TACCTTATACGAAATTGGGTGAATACATCTCATATTACTGATTTAGTGGTAGTCACGAAAACAATACTTAATTCAAAAAATAGGTTAAAGTAGTCAACCAACTCATGGGATGCCTCGTTGAGTGTGTAAAAAAGCGACTAGGGTTGCAACCGGCCACATTATATTTGACATTAGGTGCTTTGAATTTTAAACAGAGCTATATGAAGCCCTATGCATCACTTACCTGTTCCTCCATGCATGAAGATTTATTCCATGGGTTAACTTATATGCACATTTATAACATAAAATTGGAACTTGCACTAACTCACCCTCACTTGAGCATTCTAGCTTTGTGCTAAGAGCCCCGTGACAACAACTCTTGCCATTATGTGCTTTATAATTTCTTTAAAAGATGGTACTATAAATTCATTTTCCATGTGAGTAGTTTTTGAGACTCAGTAATCCTTATAAATTCATTTCCTACATTATCTCATCTATCCCAGTCCATATTTATCCTAGTTTCAAGGCTCTATTCACTTTGATAGAACAATGATTTGATTATGTAGAATGAGTGATCCTTTGTGACTATTATATTCATCTAGCCACACTGAATACTCATTGCTAAGCGCATGATTGCAGACAATAACGTTTCATACTCATACACCTCGCTTATCTTTCCATACCTTTTCTTTGGAATACGATCGTTGTGTCTTCATTAAAATAGGTACATATATTTAGAACATAACTTCATCTGAACCAACGGTTTAATAAATGCCTAACTTTTGTTGAACACTTGGCGAAATACAAGTGCAAACAGGCACCGATTTTTAATTTGTTACCATAAAACATTTGCTTAACTCTGATCATATGAATAATTCTGCACAGTAAATAGTCTTTTCGTAGCTGATTTTTTATAGTAAAAGTGAATGCAGAATTGGCGAATTGTTATGCGACGATAATAGACTTCGAACTTACCAATATATCTGGTGAGTTGTTTCATAGTACTATGTGATGCGGAGACTGTGAAACAATAAATTGATTAATAATTATTGTTTGGAGGCAACCTAGTCAATTCAATTGAGTTTCTGATCCAAAGGCATGACCCTTCATTACGTACCAAAAAATAGAATAAATTCGCATCAATCGAGGCTTAATTACAGACATTTTCTTGATATTTCTGTGACTCTTTTATCTCCCATATCGTAGTTACGATGTATATTAAGGTTGAAGGTTTTTTTGAAAAAGTCCTCTTAACGTTCGATTAATACATTTATCAAATGAAAATTTTTTTTAAAATAATTTTTTTCGGAAATTGAGCCTATTTATACCTTCTTAGCTCTGAATTTCAATTACTCTTAAACAGAATTCACACAAGTTATCTTATCACTCAGGAATAACGTTTAGTTCCACTGTCCTGTTAGGCAAGACATTACAATATTTCAAGGTATGTTTCTGATGGCAAATTAACTCCTATTCTCTATAAGAGTAGAGCATCTTTAAATTCAATTTACGCAAATAATTAATTTACTCATCATCTATTCCATTCATACTTAGCTTGATACAAATTTATTCGCCTTATGAGAACTCACTTCCACGATAACTAAGGCTACTCCACGGCATAAGTGAATCTTCACTCCAATTTATTGTACTCATAGTGTACATCAGCTGTCCACTTCTTGTACTGCCTAATTCTCAAATAGCGTGATTCATTAGTTTATGTCAGTTCGCTAGTGTGGCATTAGTAGGTTCCATAATTTCAGAGCTAACTAGTTAGGCTATTCCTTGATTCGTATTTTAAAATGGCTCATGATATCAGAATGCTCGTTATGTAACCTAGTATGATATATTTTTAACTTTATTTTATACAAGAATGATATTTGGTTTATTTATCTTTATTATTTTAGCTGGTAACTCTCTATTGTCTTTATTTAGATTGGTAATGCAAAATTAACAGAGTAACAAATGTGTTAAGGGAGCGATACAATTCGTCTTAAACTCCTCTTATTTATTATTTAAACCAACATCCATAGTTTAACAATAATACGGATCAATCTTCTCAGCGTACATATATTTTCTAGGTAAAAGACAAAAAAAACAAGTGATTTTGTGCATACGAGAGCATAAGAACTAATTCAAGAGATAGTAAACGATAATGGTCTTCTTAATGAGAGTTTCTAATCAATGTGCACCTGACGATCAAATTATTGTTCTGTTTGTATTTATCTATTTGCATTATTTTGCGTTGTATTTATGTTTATTTTTCTCCTCATCTCTCTCTTGTGCATATGTTTGTACTTTACTTCTATTTTTAACTCCACTTGCTTATCAATGCAATTTCGTGTATGCAAGAATATGACTATTATTTGCGTTCTTATGCATGCATGGAAGTCATCTTTATTCGCCTTTGCATAGAATCTACCCATAGTCGTCTTATTTGTGTTTAGGTTTTGGGTGCAATTGCACTCATTTGTCTAGCCCTATTCTTTCTAAGTTGACTTCGATTATTGCATTCATGGTTTTGTCATTTCTACAACTTGCTTGCCTTTTAACGATGCTTTACTTTTGGGAGTATATTAGGATCCTCCATTTCCTATTCATTTACTTACAGTTCAATATGCCTACTTGTTTTTTTCTTTAAACTGTCACAGGTTCTTACCTTATCAATATTCCTTCAATAGAACTGCTTAACTTCCTTGTCACAGTTAACGTTTTCTCCATTGAATGCTGCTCAGATGACTAAAGTTCGTTTGAGATAACAAATCTTTGCTAAATTATAATTCTTCAAATCACTAGCACCGATGTCCTATTGATTCAAAATCACTTGATGTCTAGACAGACAGATTTCAGATTAACGTTTCTGAAGCTTTCCATATCTCTGAGACTGCCCTTACAATATATATTTTTTATCTGAGATATATTCACCCTATTTCGTTTAAGATTATAAGGGGACTGATAATTGAATTTTTCAACAATGATATGATTAGAATTTATGCTTCCATTAAAGTTTACACGGCCTTGCTTTCCAACAAGGTATTTTTATTTTGGGTGGATTGCAGATTCGACCTCGCTTGAGTCTCGTCAGCACCCAAATGAGACTCGAAACATGTCTTATTTAGTGAATTTTTGTCAAGATTTAGCTGATACAAACAGCAAGCTGCGTGGTGTACTAATATGCTGGCACTCCGAGACATATTCGTTTTTTATTAGAATGCATATAAGTCATTCTGTCGATGAGATTACTTTTGACAGCAAATCTTTACATTTGAATGGCCATGACAACTCATTGCATGATAGAAGAAGTGACTTGATCGATCATCCATAGGGCACTAAAATCTATTAACTTTATGAATTTGAAAATAGAGGCGTTGCATTTAATAACTAATGCTGAATGGTTACTCTTTGTTTGTTTTGTGGATTAAATTGTCCCTCTCGAGGAGACTTAAGTGTCATTGACAGAAATAATCATAAATCTGTGTCATTCTCGTCTTTATAAACGCTCTTTTGATCCTGATTGAGTATCGTCATATTTCATCTTTTATTAGTTTGGCAATGTGAATAAAAGACAGAGAGACAGTTAATTTGTTAAAATGGCGATTTTTTATTCATTTAACCTACATGTCTTACTCATTCATTTCTTATTTTTTTATGCTCTGATTTAATCTTGTGTTACATAAATCGTTATGTCCTTTTCGCTAGCCAAATTTTTTATTTATTTCTTTTGTAAACGGAATTTACGTCTTACGATGACAGTTAAATCTATATCCCTAATATTTTAAAATATATACTATCCTATACCGAAATACTTAACTTTGCTTTTCCGCCACAAACATTAGCATACCGTTAACTTGTGCAAGCTCCGGCCACTTAATAGTAACAGGTCCTGAACTGGAAAGACACTTAGTACAAGTGTCGCTGCTGCCGTTCTGTAACTCAAGTTATCCGTATTAGTACTCGTAACCTGCCCTTAAGGAATTATATAGTTATCTCTTCAAGTAATCACTTCTTAATTTATATCAATTTCTTTTATTCGTGTGCTACCTGCAACCTTTTTCTCTGTATCTATATTGCCCATAACCTCATTCAGGCAGCTGTTCGCTTGGCTCGACTTGTGGGCTACATCAGCGCTGGTACGGTTGAATACCTCTTCGACCCTGTGACCAATAACTTCTATTTTCTGGAGCTTAATCCACGCCTTCAAGTGGAACATCCATGCACTGAAGTTATTGCTGATGTAAACCTGCCGGCTTGTCAACTTCAGGTTTGTTTCATTTATTTGGTTAATCTTCCTTTCCTTTCATTTCATTTCACTTGTATTCCAATTCAAGGGGTCTTGATCATTAACTCCATGCTATGCTTCAACCTAATGAACCTCATATTTCATATCACCGATTTTTTACACGTTCTAATACATGTCACGTCTTCAAGGAGACATGGAGATTAATATACATAACGCTGCATTCTTCCATTTAACATAATTCAATCTTTAATACATTGGATGTCCTTGGCTTGACTGCTATCCAATACCAATATATAACAATATCATCTTCACTAGAACTACAGGATAACCTTAAAAAGTTTATAAATATTGGCTCTCATTTACTCTCGAATCTATTACGATAATAGCTAAAGTCGGATTTCAATTGCACCTCTGCCTACTGCAATATTGATTCCTCTTTAACGAACTTCATCAAGAAGAGAAGTGTAAATATAAATGCTTCATCTTTGGCTTAAACAGCTCAGTATTATTTTTGTCTATGGCCCACATTAGTTGTATTTTTTTACTTTTTTATTATATCTTCGACTCCTCTTAGGTTAAAAATATCCTCCTTCTTCCCAAAGTAGTATATCCTACTTTTGAACTTTTAGCAACTTTGAAGAGCTCAAATTTCATATCACTGAACCACTAATATCACTTTTGATTACTGTCCATTTCTATTTCAAAGACCTAAATTTTCGATTATATTTAGTTTTTATACGCATTTATTCCTTCATTAACTTCTTTTTGTTAGCCGTTTGCTACTCTAGGATTTTTTGAAGTTAGATTATATTAATTTCATTATAGCTATTTAATACTAAATATTAGAAACTAATTTGCAAGTCGAAGACCCTGTTTAAGCCCTTTAATTATATTTGATATTAGAGAAAAACAAGTTTGTCGGTGTCTCATCGATGTAAGAAATCTCTCTCGTCAACTTGTTGAGTTGCAGGTAAGGCTTCTTATCCTGTCATGCTCTTTTGGTCTCATTAAAACTTTACCTATGAATCCGTTACCTATTTTAGTAGCCCCGAATGTGCGTCCCTGAAAACCTGCCTGTTCCTTTGTCTAAAAATTGCTCCATTTAGTGAATGGACTGATGTTTGACTTATAGCCGTAGATAATCTTATGTTGGCTAACATGATTTCTGAGAGCCATTGATCAGTCTTTTTTCAACGTCATGATGTTTTTAGTTCACATTATATACAGTTATTTTATCATTTGCCGATGTTTATATCCATTTTTCTCAGATCGCTATGGGCATCCCCCTCCATCGG